CTACCATCCTGTTAGGACTTTGGCCTTACAGCATGAACAGGAGATGAGTGGAAAGAATTCCTGCCCCCGTCACTGGTCTAACCCTCCATATCGTGCTGACAGGCCAGTTGGCTGGTCTGTGGTCAACAGCGCCTTGGATTATTGTGGATCTGCCTGGTTCATGAGCCAGACTACCCCTAGACCACCAAAAAGGATCAACTTGATTCCAATATTCAATTGCCCAGAATATCACCTTGTGACAAGCTCAGTCCTGAGGGGTCCTCCGCTTAGTTCTCCTTAGATTTAAATAAACTCCACTTAGAATATTATACATGCTGGGTGAACAATACAGTTTGATAATTGCAATATTCCATGAGCAAAGTAAGTAACATGGAACAAATACAGCTCTTTAAATCAACAAACACCAAGTTCAAATATTGCAGCATCACAGCCGGAAGGTATAATAAGACCTTTTTAGAAATAATATCAGAAGTCCCAGGGTTTTGAATGTATTGAGTTATGGGTTTGTGTAATGTTCTGAGTCAAGTGATTAATGTCATGAGGAATGTGAAATTGAAGATGATCCAAGGGAATCATTCAAGTCAGGGGAGCTAAAAAGGAATGTTTCCACACAAAACACTAGTGCTCCAGGACACCGAGCGATCGTCTTTTAACTGTTCGAGCAGATATTGTTTAATAAGTGGGAAGATTATATTTTTTTCACAGAGTGAATCAGCAGTCCTACTTGGGGAGTCCATTGGGGAAGGAGAAACAATATTTACAGCAATGTGAGATGCAGATTGAGGTTGAATTTTAAAACGCATTTGGCTTGGTTGAATTTTCTGAGCATGAAAACATAGCTATTTTGTGTTAATCCCCTTTTTCGCAACATTGTTCATGGGAAGTACTTTACTAAAGATGAAAGTGTAATCAGGTCCACTACATGTGGATTTCAGGAAATAGGCTGCATTTTGTTTTTATTAAAACAACTTTAATGAAGAAAAGAAGTCTCTGCACTAAATGTTACTGGAATTTAATTAGAATTAAAAATGACTTGGCATGTGTATGGGGAGATCACAAAATAAAAAATATCTAAATAACTCAGAAATTACATTTATTAATAGATACCATTATTTAGTTTCCATGTATTTTATATATTTTGTTGAATAAAGAGATACAGGGGGGCAGCAAATGAATAATAATAATCCTTGCATTTGATAGCACATCTTCGAAACTTCTCAAAGCGCTTCACAGAATATACTGCAAAGTGAACTGACTGAAACACGGCAGCCAATTGCACACAGCAGTGTCCCACAAACAGTCATTATTACCCCCGGAAAAGCGATCCACCAATTGACTGACAGGTTCCTATTTATTGCCAGGTAAACAGAGACGTGTGGAGTAAGGAAACTTGTCCGTTTCTCACTGCCTAGGAATCAAACCCAGGTCCTCTTGATTGCAAGGCAAGTGCTATAACCACTAATTTACAGGACTCCACAATGGATTTCATATACCAGATGGTGTTACAAGGACAGCTAGAATTCAGATTGTTTAATTTTTGAAAATGCATCATCTCTCCCATGAATTAGGAAAATAAACGGTAAGCTTCTTGGAAAGGCAAAGTCAAACTCTAAAGATAACTGTGATGCTTATTGTAGTTTGTTACTAAGCTTGTTAATTGAGGTTGGTGATGACAATTGGATCCATGCACCTTACTGCACATCCAGTCTCCAAGCTGACGTAACCTTACAACATTGGAATGAGTTTCTGAATCTACAATCTCAAATCTGCAAGCAAAATGCCAAAAGATCACCTTTTAGTTACAAGTACCACAGTCCAAGCTAACACGTCATTGCAGGGATCAGGAATGGAACATTATGCTTGCCCACCAAGCTCCATACCAATGACCTAGGTTATGCGTCCTTACGATATCTTCCTCTTTGATTGATAATTTGCCTAGTCCCTTTTAAACAGGTACATGCAGCACTAAATTCAGTTCCACAACATTATTCGAAGGATTTTTTATTGAGAGTTGGAGGGTTATTTTTCTCCATTCATGCAGTACAAGTCAAATATGCCCAAAACAATATTCAGAGGGTTTTAATGAAACAAAAGCTTTATAGACAATTGTATTCCTACTATATCATACTTTTTGTTTAAATCCCCAATGATGCTCACTTACACACACACAATCATTCAATCCAACATCACAGACTATCAATCTCCCCACTGCTCTTGTGCACAAAGCAAAAGGGGTTCAAATAATAGTCAACTTTCCATATCTAATCTAACTTCTCTAGCCTTTTCTTGGCATTAATAAAGATGTGCTTCTAAATTTGCTTCCGATTAGATAGATAACATTGAAGTGCAACTGTTTAGGAAATAATAATAATAATAATCCTTGCATTTGATATAGCGCTTTTCGCGTCTTCTAGACATCTCAAATCGCTTCACAGAATATGCTGTAAAGTGAATTGACCGTGTATTTGTGGGCGAAACGCGGCAGCCAATTGCACACAGCAGTATCCCACAAACAGTCGTGGATTGAAAATGACCAATTGATTACTGCTTTTCTTTTTGGAGGCTTGTGGATTATTATTAGGCGTGTGGAGTAAGGAAAATTGCCCAAGGTTTTGCCCTGCCTGGAATTGAACCCAGGTGTCTCGTTTACAAGGCGAGTGCTCTAACCACTGAGCTACAGGACTCCAGGAAAGGTTCTTAGGAAGAACCAAGAGAGTGAATTAATCATTGAAAAGTTCAGTGCTGCCCCTTCCAAATGCCCAGATGCTGTTTAAATCACCCAACATATGACCAACCCCCTCCAATCCATTTATGGTGCTGTGTACTCAAGATTCAAATTAAAATAAAATGGTATCAGTTCTGCATTGTATCAAATTGAATCAAATTGCTACCAATTGGAAACAAAAAATAAAATAAAAGACAAACTTTAAGTGCAAATAGAAATTTTTAGTTTCAAATTATTTTGGGACCAAAACACTCAACAAATTTTATATAGCGCCTCTAACCCAGCGTAGCGTCCCAGGGCACTTGACAGTGGCGAAGCACTCCACACATGGGGAAGGTCTTTGAAGCAGGAGAAACTGAACACTGAATTTTATACCTGGAGGAGTGAAAATCCACAGATTGTTTAACGGATTGCATGTACTAGATTGTGTTTCTCATAGTAGTACCCGTGTTACGTGCCAAACTAAGAGGAATGTAAAGGATGTCTGCAAAAACTGAAAATGAATGAACCATTCCAGGCAGTAACATGAACTTGCTTGATTCCCTGTAATAGTGTCCCCCTTCCTTCACGCTGTGGGTCATCCTGTCAACGTCCCCACCCCCACCTTTCCATCCCCGAACCTCAGGTGCCCAGTCATTTATGTGAAGCACTTTGAAATTTCCTCCCAATGTGAAAGGTGCTATATAAATGTAATTTGCTGTTGTTTTCATTACTTGCTTATAATGGGATTTCCTGTTACTCACCTGGTGCTATATTATGCTCATCATTGAGTATTGCTGTGCTGTGTTGGTTTGAAGCAGATACCATGGGCCTGATCAGGTACCAGGTTGCGTGTATCTCACAGATGGGATATCACATTGTTCCTGACCACAGGCCCTTGGTTGTGGTACTGCAGAAAGCAACAATAGATTTATTGTTATTATTTATTATTGTGTAACATGTGCACTTGGGAATGAACCATACAAACAGTGAAATGCAGTTCTACATTATTAACTTCTATTTAGATCGATCTTTTCCTCTTAGTATAATATGTGCACTCATTTAAGGATCCATCATTTGACTAATTAACACACCCATATCTCCATCACCAAGACTTTGACATTTTGCAACCAACCAGGGTCTGAAGTACTTTGAGAGATGTATTAAGGCGCTATAGCAAATGCAAAGATTATTAGTATTATTACCCATGTTTTCTCTGTGGATGGTTTTGAGCTCTATAATATCATCCCTAACTAGTTTTCAGCTTGGATTAATATGAGCCACCTGCCCTGCAGATAAGTGCAACAGAATACCAGATCACAGTATTTGTTTGATCTACATGTGTTGTGCATTAAGGTTTATAGCAAATATAATTGGTCATTCACTTCACAGCTACTTTGGAACATCACTGTGTGGAAATTGACTGCTACATTTACCGACAAAATACACAGTCACTACTGATGTACAATCAGGGCATGAATTCTTGGGGGATGCTCTGGAGCCAAACATGGGGGGCACTCTGGAAATTTCCTGAATTCCTGTATAGCCAATCTGCCACTGTTTGCAGTACATCCTGTGAAAGACTTTGATATATTCTTCCAACAGGATGGCGCTATATCAAATGTAAGGATTATTATTATTAAAATAAATATGTCAAAATAGTTATCCACAGAGCATATTAAAAAGCTTACTTTTTCACATCTTCAACCTATTGCAGCCTAAGCTATAGCACTCATATTTGCATCTATGTAATCATAGAAAATGAATTAAGCAATACTTTCATACATATTAAAATTATGTTTAAAAATTCCAGGGCACGACTTGTAAAAGAGCACCAATTTGTTTAACTCTTAAAGACGTTGCCATGGTAAAGTCCCCCTAAACCATTGAAATATGTGCGATTCTCTGTACATTATTCATTGAATAGTAATACCGCAGAATGAAAAACACATGGGACTTCTTTGGTATGATTTTGGAAAGGAAGACACAGTTTGTTTCATATAAATTAAAAGCGAAACTTCTCATGGTACTAAGGATCAGCCACTGGTGATGATCTCATTGGGCACAGCCAAGATTCTGATCTTTTCTAGTCACCACCTTTCCAGGTAGATCTTCTTCCGCTTAGCCATACTTTACAGTTTGTAAAGGAAAAGCAGTAACACAGTCATCCAGGTAAAGGTGTGTAGGAATGGGTTGGCCCAACCAGAGCCCAGGTAAAGTTTTGTAGCAATTGGTCTGGAGTTCTCCAATGAGTCAGATACCTGGTGGATGATTGACAGGTCACAGATCTTCCGGTTGCAAAAGAGTGGGTCGTGGCTGAGAGAGACATTAGATCATATCAGATCACAGGCTGAAGAAGGTGGACAGCACCACAAAGCAGAAGTGGGCTTTAAAAGGATCCTTTTTTTTTGTATTAAATGTTTAAATATAAACTCTGTGCATTTGCATCATGATGAAGGGAAAGGAAAGGTTGCTTGCCACTGGTGCGGCGCTTCTCTCTGGTGAGTGTTTGGCTTGTTTTCCGGGAGTACCTGCTGCAAATGGCTGCAGACCACACCTTGGAAAGTTGTTAAGACTGCAGTTTGCAGTGCACCTTCGCGTGGAGCCTTTGAGCTAAAGGTGCGGCCACAAACCAGTGGCAAGATGTGAAAATGTAATCTGATATATATATATATATTCGTAAATGTACTGTTAACACATGCAAATTATAATAATTTAACTCTTTCTCTGATTGTACAATTTCTCCTGGGTTTTTTTCTCTCTCTCTCCTGCTCTTTACCACCCCGGCCTCTCTCTTGTTTTTTGCCTCCTGGCTTGTATCACCAATTCCTATCTTTCTCGCAAGTATTTTCCTTCCCTTTCCCCTTGTCCAAGCAAAACAAAGGCATCTGGCATTTTGTGAGTTTGGTTAGAATAAACTTTATAAAAGTGAGAGGAACACATTTAAAACTATGAAAGAATCTATCTTAACGAATTGAGGTGGCGNTTTTTTTCCTTTCAGTTTCCTGGGCAATAATCCCCCAGATGAAAACCATCACGGTTATTTGTGGGATGTGGCTGGGAGTAAATTGGTTGCTGTGTTTGCCTGTAAGCATATGTAGTCACTAAGCTTTAATAGCTGGGAGCGCTTTGAGCTGTCCTCCTGAAATGCCAGGTTATTTTCAATTAATACCACAGGTGGGGGGGGGGGCAGGGAATGCACTGGAAAACTTCAAAGATGGCCTGAAAACCCAAATGGATTGCCATGAAACTTTACCCCAGTTCTGCCATATTAGCTGCTAGTTGCTTAATTGAAAAAAAATAGATTTCATTGACCATTGCAATTCATTCTAGAAGGAGAACGTGTTAGGAGTCACAGCAGTAACGCGCCTTGAAATTGAGTGCTAACTTCGAGATATTGAAAGAGTTAAGACAGACTATTTGTCGGCTGTGAGTTTCTTCCTTTATGTTCACTTTGACCCACATTAAGTCCAGTACGCTGTATGCTAAGTGCAGTCCCTGCGGTCTTAACTGTGAGTTCCGCGCCATGGTTGCTCTGAGCTCTTTTAAGTGGTTATGGTTTACCAATTCCTGGCAACTCACCGTAAATTCTTCAATTTCCTCTTTTTCCAAACATACATGCTCCAAACCTATTTATATAAGGTTTCAATGGTATCCTTGATAACTTATTTCATGCGTCTATTCTGCCTGAAATTCCTAATATTAATATTATGTCCCAGTTCTTCTTTGACCCCTCCCCCCTTTTCAGTGTGGGCAATTTGTCTGGAGCAGAAACCTATTAAAATTACTTCAGAAATTTTAATACCATTGGGTCACTTTGAAGTCCCCTTTATTTTCGACAAAAAAATGAAGCCTTCTGAGAAATTTAGTCCTGGCATTGTCTTTGTTCCCCAACAATATACCTTCTCAAAAGACCATAATATGCTTTCTATGATATGTTAAATAAAATATTCTGGAATGGGGCCTAACCAATGCTTTGGAGAGTAACTCAAATTATTTTGGTCCCAACCCATTGCCTTGTTTTCCTTTTGCAAAGCAGCCAAGGACTCGGCTAATGGCATTTGATCTCTTTTACAATAACCCCATATTGTTTTCCCAGTCAATGTGCTTGTGTGATTCTTCTATTCAACACAAGCCCATGTTTTGAACCTTTTGCTCCTGTGTCTGAGGCCTGAAATTTGTCACGGATTTGGCCTTTGGTACCATCGTCTTAAAATGTTATGATTTTGAAAAATTCTTAAATTCTACTCTAATTTGGAAGATGGCTTTCTGCAGTAAAAAAAAATGGTCACTCAATCCCCGAATATTTGTGGGACACCATTGTGCATAATAGGCTGCCGCATTTCGCCCATAAATACACAATCGATTCACTTTACAATATATTTTGTGAAGCGCTTTAAGATGTCTCAATAATGTGATAAGATGCAATATCAAATGCAAGAATTATTATTATAAGATGTTTTGAAGCATCATTCAAACCAGTTCAACAATGAATCCACGGATTTCCCTTGTTGCTTCCCAATGATATTCCTTAAAATGAGGATTCTCCCCAGCATGGAGTTGATGTGTTGGTATGTAATAATACCTTCAAAAAGAAATAACTAAATAATAACAAAAATAAATTGGTCACACAATCCACGACTGTTTGTGGAACACTGTTGGGCACAATTGGCTGCTGCATTTCGCCCACAAATTATACTGTCAACTCAGTTTACAGTATAATCTGTGAAGGGCTTTGAGGCTTCTCGTAGACGTGATAAAGTGCCATATCAAATGCAAAGATTATTATGTCGCTTAAATGCAGTCTCTCACTTTCTAATTATTCCTAATCGGCTTAAAGGCCCTCCACAGCCTTACTCCTTCCTACCTCTGTGACCTACTAACCCCATAGTATCCTGTCCTTTCCCTCTGCTCAGCAGGTCCAGCCTGCTCCACATCCCATGCCCAGCCCACCCAACCATCGGCGATCGGGCCTTCAGCCTCTCTGCCCCCACCCATTGTAACTCCCTCCCACACTCCCTTCGCCTCGCTCTGTTGCTTGTCTCCAACAACAACAGCAAATTACATTTTTCATATCAATAGGATGTCCTTCAAGGCATGTCTCAAGAACCTCCTCTTCGACCGCACCTTCGGCCACCCTCCATCCTCCCTTATCCAAAACCCCCAGCTCAGATCTAAATCCCTGACTGTCCAGCATCTTGGGACATCCTCCTGACGTGAAAGACGCTATTCAAAAGTAATTTTGTATTGTAATGTGTTAACTTTGACATCGCTTTCCTGACCTTCTCAAAATAAACTTATGGCTTCAAAAATAAACGGCTTTAAAATTCCGATTGAGTTTAAGAATTTATCAAATTCTGGACATTGAAAATGCTGCTTTGATAGAATAAATCCAGACAGAAATTCTCCTCATAGTAGGTATTTAGAAATAACCTTTCATTAACAATAAGAAATATGTCCATCAGAATCTCACAGTAGCAAAAGAAATGAGAAAATGACCACTTCCCTGACCAGAAACACTACTCACCCATCCTGCATTCTGGGGAAATATCTGCAGTTATTATCTGCGCCTAAAGGAAATCGAGCAATTCCTTCAGGGTATTCAACTATTCCCACATCTGCAATATTCAAACCTGCCCTCTTTGCCTCCACATATATACTCCCCTTTTCTTTCAATCCTGATACCACAAAAATCCCCAATGGAAAATGGGTTTGCTGGATAGAAGATAGTGGAGATAATAATCCTTCCATTTGATATAGTGCCTTATTGCGTCTTCAAGACGTATCAAAGCGCTTCTCAGAATACACTGTAAAATGAATTGACTGTATATTTTGTGGATATTAATGAGATACACTGTGCTGCAAGAGTTAGCCTTGTGTACTAATGTGTATTAATGTTTGTTTTGGGGTGGGTGGGGGGGAGAGAGAGCAGAAAGATGCTGTAAGGATGGGTAAATGTGACATTATGTTAGAAATGCACAATATTAATAAACTGACGTCTTTTGTGACATGAATATTGGTGTTTTGGACTCCCCTGGTGGCTGAGTTGGTAAATTGCACCATGTAATGCAGGTACTGTGGAGGAGTGTTCTGGACTGAAGCGAGATGAGCAAATGCTTAATAATATAATAATAAACCCCCTTTGACTTCCCCTTCAGCCATCCTCCTACCCCCTGCTCGGGTCCAAATCCCTGACTGTCTAGTGCCTTGGGATATTCTCCTAACAGGAAAGGCGTTATACAAATGTAATTTTTTATTGTATTGACCCATCTCCACTGAGTCTACATTACTGATTTCTAATCCCACTTTTTCTTAGAAAAATTGTGGTTCTATTTCCAGTGATTATTGCTGCCAGAGTTTGCTAGATTCTTGCCTCAACATCCCAAGCGACTGCTGTGCTCACTCCTCGAGTCTGGGCCCCGTGTTGTGTGGTAACCACTGAGCTACAGGACTCCACAGAATAGAATGGTCCTTACGGACTGTTAAGCTATGTAGTCTTTAGCTGGCCGAATTCCCTAATGCCTCTGCAACCGTGTTCTCCAGACACAAACAAGCAGGTTGTTTCTTCTTCTTCCCTCCTCCCCCCACAGCCATGATTCCATGGGCCGGGTGTTTGAGTAGTGAATCATGAAACTGAAACCAAATATGACACCAGAAACTTGTAACTAATTGCGCAATGCCATCATCGCAATGTCATTTGTTTTGTGCATTAGAAAGTGTGCTTTGGATACGGACTGTATATTAATTAATTGTAGTTGGACTAGTTTTATCCGATAAGATAACACTGGAATTCAGTGTTTGGTTCAGAAATGTATATGTGACGAGTCAATTACAGTATTGCTTTAAGAATTATGGTTTTATCTGCAGTGCTGACGGCTGTGACTGCAATAAAAGTTGACATTGTGGATACAGTGAAAGAAGTTGCTAGAGACGATAAAGTTAATTTCAAATGCCAGTACACAACTTCGGTGACCAACAGGAATGCGCTTAATATTATATGGAATTTCATTCCTGATGATCCAGATAAAGAAACGGTGAGTATAAACCTTGAAAGGGTAATGAGGTGTTTATTCATCAGGATCCTTTCTTAAAAAAATATCAGCTGCAAGGCACATGTAATTGATTTTGAGCTTTTTTTCGTGCTTGATGTCAATGAGAACTTCAAACTGGAGAGGAAAAAGTCGATAAAATGCCGTGACAGAATGACTACAGGGAAAGCCTATTGTAATGTGATCCTCTGGGTCCAATATTTCAAAGACTGGTGATCATAAGATTGGTCTGGATGAAGAAGGCCCTCATCCGTCCAGAACACCCACCCTACTAACTTCTCTCCCGCCCCATCACTGCATCAAGTTGCTCTTTAAATGACTCCAGTATCCTAGCCTCTACCACCTTTCCTGGCAACCTGTTCCGGTTGCTGATTGCCCTCTGCATCAAAAACTTACCGGTATCTGTTTGGAAATTGCCATTTACAACTTTAAACCTTCTACCAAAGGATGGAAAATGGCTGACATCTGGGTCATCAAGTCACCACTGACATAACCTTCCTGTGTGCTGCTCATATTTTACTATTTCATCATTACTCTCTTTGCCAATGCCAGTAGCAATCTGACAACCCAGAAGTCAGCCATTGTTTAGTGTTCTGGGGGTGTGCTGAGGGTTGCGGGGGAGAGACGGAATTTAAAGAGAGAGGTGAGAAAGAAAGACTTGCTCAGTTAGCTTTATAAAACCAAGCCTTGTTAGGCCTCCAAAACAGTAGAAAAAGTGGAATAAGTCTGACTCACTTCAGCCATTTATCATTCAAGCACAAGCTAGCTTTCACAGAATTTCAAGGTATTTCTTGTAAAACAAAGCGGTATATCAATGTTAAGTTGCATTCCTTCACTGAGAAGATTCAAGAGTCTGAGAAGTGGCACTTTTATTTGCTCTCAAATATTTGTATTGGGATAGTGTCTTAAATTGTCCCGTGGCAAAGGCTAAACTGATTCAAACAGAGTAAAACTCAGATGTAATATACCCATTTTTGGGTTGAGGTGGGTGAGAAGTTGAGGGGGAAGCGGGGGTGGGGTTAAGAAGGCAAAATCAGAGCTACCACAAAACTTGCATTTATATAGCACCCTTCACTCGGGGGTAGCGACTCAGAGTTTCCCTGTAGGCTCAATCAATACTAACATCTGTTGAGATATTATGACTGGCAGGCCCCAAAATATGGTATTTTCTAACAGAACTTCTGTGGTTATGAAAATAGGAAGTGAGCTCATATTGGTTCGGTGGTCTTAGAGTCACAGGATTTTCAGGGTTTTGGCTGTGCAATGGGTAGAGCTGATCTCATCTTAAGGACCAGGAGCTTACTGGTTCGAATCCGATGTGGGTGTGTGTGTGTGGGGGGGGGGGGGGGAGGCGGGGGTGCGCAAAGTCAGATTTACCGCCAAATATTTAAAAACTACGACATAATACTAGAGAAATTGCAATAAAGTTTGGAAATGATAATAACATATCTGACTATTTTAAATGTTGCTTTTTCACACTATTTCTCTTAAGATTGACGTAATCCAGTGGTTCAACGCTCTGGATGAACCGGTGATTGGAACCAAGTATAAAACTAGAGTGAAATTTACAGGCGACGTTATGCTTAATGATTGTTCAATCACAATCAACAATACAATCACATCGGACAGTGGTACATACGAGGTTGAAGTCAAACTTCCCACAGACTTGGAAGGTGACCGGAAAGACCGAGTGGAGCTCGTTGTATTAAGTAAGGATTTTATTGTTAAAATTGCTTTATCTCATTAAAGTTTTTAGCTTTGTTAATGAAAACAGTATTATTATTATTACATGATTTGTGAACCAGGTTTAGGACACTGATCTGCGGGAAAAACACATTTTACTACTCATAAAGTTAACGATAGAGAGCTGTAAGGAGCTATATAGTGCTTCTCGTGAACGTTAAGGTATCTGTGACACAATCTGAAAAGAGAAAGAAGTTTCTTTTGTCTCCCAATCAGGCAATCCTCAAGATTACCTGTTCGCTTCATAGTTGTTTGTGGGACCTATGGCGTGCAAATTAGTTTCTGTGTTTGCCTTCAACTTACTTACTTACCTACCTGTGAAGTACTTTGAAGAATTTTGACATTATAAGCGCAGTAAAAAAAATGCAAGCATTTAATATTAAGGATAAGGATATGGACTATGCCTCTGGGTGTTTTCCACACAACTTTTTCAAGTAGACATTGAATGAAATTTCACTCACCACAACAACCCGGTTGGCACTAATAGTGTAATCCATGAACTTGCAATGTTAATTTGTCAAATGGATACTTTCCACAAGTTCCCAAATAGACCATTTAATGAGGAATTGCCTTCATCTCTCTTACTCTCCTTACCCACCGAATTTACAAGTATTTCATCCAGATGGGTAGAGAGATACTCTCGTCTCATCAGGTGACTTTTTATAAGAACTTGACGATCAACACAATCTTAAATATTTATCATTTTGGTATCTGATGTCATGTCTTTGTTCGATGACAAAAATAATATAACGTGCAGGATTTGCATAACGTGCAGGATAACGTGTTGAGTGCTACACAGTGGTGGAGATCTTATGGAAAGAACGCTCCCTTTGTAATAATAAAAATATTTCGCACCACACAATATACAAATTAGATAAATCTTGTCTTCAGTCACGTCTCCTATTCCTACCCTGATTCCAATCTCCAGCTGGTTTCGAATCCTTTGACTGTCCAGCGCCTTGGAACGTCCGCCTGATATGAAAGGCGCTGTACAAATGTAATTTGTTGTTGCCTGGCTGGGTTTTGTTTTGGAAAGGTAAATGAAGTAATCTTTGTTATGCTATTTCAATTTGCAGTTGCTCCTTCGCCACCTGCCTGCTCCATCGCAGGAGGTACTGAATTCGGACAAGATGTGATATTGAAATGTCACTCTGATGAGGGGTCCCCTAAACCTACTTACTCGTGGAATTCCTACACTATTGAGAACTTGCCAAGATCATTGCCGGCAAATTCTGTTCAACGTTAGTAGCCATTGTTCAAATACTTGAGTCTGAATAGAATTTTGTTTTACCTCTTAGCAATATTTTAAGACCTTCTCTATTAATTAGTAATAATCGCGTTGGATAAATCCATAACTATAAAAAGTAATGTTCTCCATCATCAGGGCAGGTTATTGGTTCTCATGTCAACCTGCAGCAGTTTTTCATTGAACTGACGTGTTAAAAACACGTCAAAGTTTGCCTTTATACCCTTAATGTGTCTATGATCTGAATTTCAAGGTTTAGATTTCTTGGATTCAATTTGTCAATCTCTGAAATGTGTCAGGTTTTATAGTGTTAGTGACCGACCAATTTGTATACTTTTGTCTTATTTTCCCTTGCAACCCAATGGTGAATTGGATTGCTAATGTTGACATTTTGTCTGTTTGAACTTTGAGTTCACAGTCTAGGCTGCACTTCATTGAGTACTTCATGCTTCATTATTATTATTATTATTCATTATTGCAAATTCTATCCTTGAGATGAGATATACAACTCAGCACCCATCCACCTGTTGGATGTTAAAGATTTCATGGCATTAAATCAAGAGAAGGAAGTTTCTCCTGGTGTCCTGGCCAGTAGTCATCCAGATAAATTTCGCCACAAAATTTACTCAGTTCACTTTACATTATATTCTATGAATCGCTTTGAGACATCTCAATGATATGTAAGGTGCTATATCAAATGCAAGGATTATTATTATAAATTGATAATTCACTTTATGTGGGACACTGGCCTTCTGCAAAATCACTGCCTGTTTGCCAACAAATGCACGGTCACCAATAATCGCAGTTCCCTGTGAAATACTTTTGAGATGTTTTGATATTCTAGCCGCAATAAGATTTGCAAGCAGCGTTATCATCAGCGCACATGAGAACTGACAAAGCTCTTAGCCATTAAAGGTGAGATTAAGGGGCAGACAAACTCGGGCCTGTAAACTCTTATTAGTTTGAGTCAAGCGCAGAATAGTTCAAGCTGTCCAGCATTTTGCATCGTTAACGTTGATACTTTTCTGTTCCTCCCTCTCAGAGGAAGATGGATTACTGCTTAAAAATCTTACCGGTACTCATTCTGGGTTCTACATATGTACTTCAAGAAACAAAATCAAGTTTGCCACCTGCAATGTAACTTTAACAGTTTTGGCTCGTAAGTATCATTGACTATTTTAAGATGAGGGGATTTTTGACTCTATAATTCTGAATTTATACAATCCATTTTGTAAATGTGAATACAAAATGCAGTGCTTCTGTTTAAAACTCTTATACTATAGTAAATGATTGTGTTTTACGTGGCATGTACCTCAGCACAAAGACATTCCTTGAGAGCAAATTGAACCATTTTTTTGAACATCTTCCCTGATATAGTTGGTAATATATAGTGTAATAAAGTATGCTCTGTGGTGCGTTAATGTTTTGCGGACTAATGTAGCCACTGGATATCTTGTCAACTGACCCATGGGTTTGACTTAGATTCTTTTCATTTAGAACTTCTGTTCGCCTTTGTACTACATTTGTGTATTGTTTATATATTTTTTTAAAAAAAGCTAAATGGAATCAAAGCAAAGTAAAATAATGTGACGTTTTATGGAGAATTTTTTTAAAAGTTAAAAGCAAAAAAAAACCTTGAGTTGTAATGTGGTCTACTGAAGAAGTGTAGCCATTCTATAAAACTAGATTCCTATCAATCTCAGGAGTCCAAACATGAAGAGGAAATCATTCTATTGCACATTACCCTTCAAGTACCTCGGAGGTTGACTGCCTGCGAGTGAAAATGGATCAAGCCATTCTGATAGTATATCTATTAAAGTCTGCATAAACTATTGTTGGTGTTTCAGTAATGTTCATAGGCCACAAATAATTTTTTTCTTTTTTTTAGCGGCCATGAAATTTCCGCTTTACGCTGGACTTGTTGGGGGTGGAGTGGCTGTCCTGATTATCATTGGCATCATTGTTTATTGTTGCTGCTGTCGTTCAAAAGGGCCTCCGGAAGGCTATGAAATGGAGTAAGTATATTTTTTAAAAAAAGAGATTGAACACTCATAAAGCCTCTTAAGTACCTCCGTCACGTTAGTTTGGACAGTAAATTGAGTGTACAGCTAGCCTGACAGCTTTCCAATATTCGTATGGGCTGCTTCGGCTTCTGGCCAGGCAAGGAAATGTGGGCAAGTGAGAAACAATTATATTGTTCAATGTGATAGTGTTGTAGTTGTCTCTTGCTGCTCAAACCACCTGCTCAGACAGTCCTGATGACCTGGGCGGGTAAAGTGTAGATTTATTTTCCTTTTACGTGATTTATGTGCCAGTCTGGCTCAGTTGGTGGTGCTCTGAGTCAGAAGAAGGTTGTGGGTTCAAGCTCCATGTCAGCACTTTGAGCTACAGTACAGGTTGACCAAAGAGTCTTATTTTTCAGCTACCCTGTTATCTGAAAAGAATCATCATTATTTTAAGACTAAGCAGAAATTGTAATGGGATGATGACCTTTTGGTCACCCTGCATTAGGCTAACGCACCAATGCAGTCCTGGAGGTGCGCTGTATTGTTACAGGAGCCGTTTCTTTAGGATGAGACTTTAAAACCAAGGTCCCAGGTGGACGTTAATGGCACTGTTAGAAAAGAGAAGGTAATTTATCCTGGTGTCCTAACCCACAATCCTCTAGATAAACTTAGTGATTCACTTCATGGTTATGGTGACATCTTGCTGTGTGCAACGTGGCTGCCAAGTCTGTAGACAGTTAATACACTTCACAATAAGATCCTGTAAAGCGATTTGAGATGTCTTGACAATGGGATAAGGCATTATATATATCAAATGCAAGAGGGAGGGTGGTTCAGGCAGAATCCATATCAGCTTTCAAACATGAACTAGGTAAATATCTAAAAAGAAACAAGGTTATGATGGAAGGGCAGGTAAATGGGACTGAAAGGATTGCCCTTAAAAGAGCCATTACAGACAGTTGGCCAAATGGCCTTCTTCTGTGCTGCAGATTTCTCCGACCTCCTCACTCCCAAATCTACTGCACGATGCCTCCACTCGACTGGCACCGGCATCCTGCTTGTCTCTTGTGCCACCATTGCCATGTCTCTCTCAATCCCTCTGACTTGCCCCCTCTCTTCCCCTTTTCAAATCCTGACTGCAAACCTTCCTTTTCGACCGTGTCTACAGTCACCGTGCTCTGAAATGCTATCCTGGGTGGAGGGCGCTATATAAGTGCAAGTTGTTGTTGCTGTTGTAGATTTAATATTTAGATTTAATAATAATTCAAAGTATTATTATTATGAGGGAATATTTGTGAAGAGAATTGGTAAGGGATTTTTGTTGGACAGAGTGAACTTGGTGATGGGGAAATTTTTTTTGCTGCATTTTCACTTTGGCAGGAGAGTTGATCTCTTGTTGACCAGATTAATCAAATGTACTTGTTTTGTAGGGAGCGGGAAGAGGAGGATGACGAGTCAGAGCATCGACCTGCAAAGCCTAGGTATAAATAGAACTGACCCTGGTATGGTGAACTTCTGATGATGATGAATTTGACAAGGATAATGCTGATTTTTCTCTATCCCCCACTAAAAGTTCCATTGACATTTTGCAATACACTGTTACATGACCCAGCAACTCATGTTTTTTAAAAAAATTGTTCAGCGACAACTATTGTTAACTTGTGTGATCTTGGAACCCTAAAACTAAACTGATTCGGCTATTCATCACGTTCCATTTCCTTTATCCAAGTATAGCCGTTTATAAAAAAGATTAATACAGTAGAACCCCAGTTGCAACACGCATCGCCATAATGCAGGTTATTTTATGATGAGATTAGGGTGTGGGCCTTTTAAGGTTTGTTTTTAAAAAGTCACTGAATGTGATGTTGGTAAGTGACCAGATGGTCATTGAGCATCATTTTAGCTTCGGAGCCAGTTGGTGTGTGAGAAGTTCTGTGAATGGCTGTTTTGAGACTTTTTGACAGTGTTTAAAGTGCAATAACAAATTCAAGAACTATGTGAGCAATACTTTTTGTAAAGGGCAGGTAAGAAGAGCTAGAGTGACAGCGAGAGCCTACAAAACCTAGGTACAAAGAGATTAAATAGTTCATGAACCCTGCCACAAACATGCATTCACTTTCTTTTCTGATGGCTCAGCAAGTTTATTTCATGAGTAGCTGAGTTACACTGGGCAGGTCCCAGGTTAAGTTATGAGTCTATGCGGGTTTTGGGTTTGGGTAATCTCTGGAGTCCTGTAGCTCAGTGGTTAGGGCACTCACCTCGCAAGTGATACCTGGGTTTGATTCACGGTAGGGCAAAATGTTGGGCAAGTTTCCTTACTCTGCACAGCCATTCACTTCGCAGTAAATAGGAACCCGGTTGCTAGTCAATTGGTGGATTGCTTTTTGGGGGTAATAATTCCTTCAAAAAAATAATAATAAATTGGTCAATTCAATCCACGACTATTTGTGGAACACTTCTTTGCGCAATTGATTGCTGCATTTTGCCCACAAAATATATAGTCAATTCAACTTACAGTTTATTCAATGAAGCGCTTTGAGACGTCTCAAATACGTGATAAGGCGCTATATCAAATGCAAGGATGATTATTATTATCTTGGGGTCGCTACAGTGTGCTTCAGCAGCCTGAGGTTGAAAGAGAAATCTGATAGCAGTGACGCCCATGCCCCACTCTGTTATGAACATAAAGCCTGGGCACCAGAGGGCAAACAGTGCATGTGTGACCATAACCACACGGAAGGGGAAAAAAAAAGTTGAATGTCTTTAAGAAAGAAGAATGGTGGAGAAAATTGGGAAGAATTTGTATGGAAAAGTAGACTTAAACAAGTTTGTTTTTGTGTGGCTCTGCATCTTTGCTTTGTGAATCAAAGATTAATGGAAGGCTTTTTGTGTTTGTAGAACCCGGTATGAGGAGGAGATGCAGCGACGGCCTGCAAAGCCTAGGAACGACGGCAGGAATGACGATCGGAATGATGATCGGAACAGCAGGAATGACGATCGGTACAACGACAGGAATGACGATCGGTATGGGGGAAGGAATGACAATCGGTACAACAACAGGAATGAAGATCGCTATGGGGGCAGGAATGACAATCGGTACGATGATAGGAATGACGATCGCTATGGGGGCAGGAATGACAATCGGTACGATGATAGGAATGACGATCGCTATGGGGGCACGAATGACAATCGGTACAACACGAATGACAATCGGTACGACAGGAATGACGATCGTTATGGGGCCAGGAATGACGATCGCCAGGGGGGCAGGAATGACGACCGTTATGGGGCCAGGAATGACGATCGCCAGGGGGGCAGGAATGACGATCGCCAGGGGGGCAGGAATGACGATCGCCAGGGAGGCAGGAATGACTATCGCGATGACAGGAATGACGATCGCTACGCGGGCAGGAATGACAACCAATATGACGACAGGTATAACGATCAGTACAATAACTACGAAGGCAACCAGCCCCAGTATGATGAAACTCCGTACGATGATGATGAATTTGACGATGATGACTATTCCCCCCGTCCTTCAGCCGAGGTAGCATTGGTGCCTCCCAATGAACGCAACTACCCGCAGAATAATTATAATGCTTGAAAACAATTTGCTCTACAACAGCTGGGGAGATAATTTGCAATATCTCTAAATTCTGACACTCCTATTTAGCTTTCAGTAAAATTCTATTACCCGTATGCCATAAACTGTGGAGATATATTAAAAAGCAAGTTCACTTATTCAACTTTTCTCAGGGCTTGTAATGATCTTCGTCTGGATTTCACATCCTACTTGAGGGTGGAAATGTTCCAAATGAGGATACACCCATGGTTTTGTTCATATTTTTAAAAAATCTCACCTAAAGCAAAAGTGCCATTTTACATTGGTACATTTTTATTATGTTTTTGACCATATTTTATTTTTAAAATTTTTTAAGATAAAAGTCCATAGAAAAAAATAGAACATTTTCCTTCGCTAAATAAGAGAAAATAAATTTGCAGACTCAGCTGAACACGTCATCTTTGGAGTGTGTCCATTCCTTTTCTAAAACCCAAGGGGAGAACTTGCAGGGTTCCACAAAGGAACACTCCTGAAAGTTTTTTTTTTGTTTTGTTTTTTGTTTTTTTCAATGAGTTGTGAGTGAGAGAAAACGAATAGTAAAAACCCGTCTTCAAGCTCTCAGGGGACTGGGCCAAAGTGGCCTTTATATAAGGGTGAAGGTTCATGGAAGTGTGAACCGGTTTGTCCGAGAGGGAGGTTGTTGAATGAAGGTGATTGCTTTAACTAGTTGGAGAAAATGATGGGCCATGAATTGTGGAGGGGGTGGGGGCAAAGGTCTTTGTACTTTTTTTGGGGGAAAAAAGTCAACTAGTTACAATTTCAACTTGGATTATTTTGTCACTGCTCATTTAATGAGCTTCCTAAGTAGAACAGACTTCATTGACAGTGACCATACAGCAGTTTCTCAAAAGTTGCCTCAAAATATTTGTTGTCATTTCTAACTTTCTTCCTGTTACTACTGTGATATGTCATTTCCATCATTTTTCCTTGTCTCAAGGGGCAAGTTGCAAGGTTGTTGGGGCTCCTTTTAGTTCCTTTGGAGTTATTGTTTTCAGCTGATAGTTTGTGACCTACAACCAAACTTTTATGGGAACATTATGGGAATGGTCTGAAGGAGTAAACTGGGTGGGTTGAATGGGCAATTTCCATTCTCATGTTAAGAACACTAAGACATTTTATTCAGCAAAACAGAACTTGATTTTCCCCAAAATCTAATGTAAATATTTTGGCAGGGGCTGCAAATGTTAAACCATAGTTGACAGTATAGTGTCTCATTGCTGTGGTGTCCAACGTAAAATACTACATTGTCTCCTCACACATGTAAATTCTCTGCTGCCTCCCCTGAGATTTACTATACTATTTTTTTCTCTCATTTATAAGTGTTCACTCTGAGTTTTTGTTAATGCATGGCCAGTATTGAGAAACGAGGCAGTAAATCAATGGGAAATCTTCTAATATCAAACCACAAAAGTGAAGCTTGTGGTCAGAGCCTTTCAAGTTCATCAAAACCTTAAGGTGCAATTATTGCCCTGTCTCACTACTAGCCGGTACATTTTTCCTTATGGTTTGCTTCAGATAATGTTTGTTACTGAAGTTGTTGAGTTGACTGCTGGTACTTTGAGAAATAGGTTTCTAATCAGTAAAATGCAACTAAATGTATATTATCTTGACTGCCTTTACTGTTTGTACGTTTGTGTCGGTATTGTTGGCTGCTGGGTGAAGGGTCACAAATAATGAAGCTTGTACTGCAATGTTAGATTTGAAGGTGTGCTGTAAATCTCATTGACTAGTACCAGAGTTGTTGCTGGTATAGATAATAAAATAGTGAGTAGTAGCTTCTAATTTACTTTGGGATCTTGTAGACTGAGAGCAAATTTCCAAAGGCATATCTTCTGATCTCAGCCACCTTTTCACCTTTGTTTATATTACATTTTTTATCATCTCCATTGCCTCCTAATCAAATGCCTAATAAATAATGAAATGCTAATTGACATTTAAGTTTTGCGACTATTTTAAGTTCTAAAGATTCAATGAGAAGTAATTGAAGAGTATTTGTTATTCGCAGTTTTGCCAAATACTCATTTCACTTGCCAAACAAAATGTAAATAGTCATTTAACGTTAAAAAAAAGTTGCATTTAATTGCAAATTAGCTACTGGAAATTATGATAAATCACTTTTACAGATTTTTAAAAAGCTAGTTGTATAACTGTTTGCATATTCCTTTGACATGCATGGGTTGAGATTTCTTGGTACCTACTGGCTACTTTAAACCTATGATTTTTGTTGCTCAATTGGTACAGTGATATAGGGTCTTCTCCAATCTTTGTGTGGGAAGAATGCACTGACCATTGTTGCCTTCTGATTTTAGTTTGTGAAAATAGCAGCAGCTCGGAAGCCCTGTAAATGGTTAAATGTCTCATTATGAGGGAATTATTCTACTATCTTGCAGGATGATTTGTAGTGTAATTGCCCAAATCATACTTCTCCTACCTCAGATTTTTTAAACCCTTTTTGATAGTGAGCATTGATTAGAAAGATGCCAATGACTCAATGTCTTTTTAAACTATGAGGGAATTATACTAAAGGACCAGTTTGTGTCCAAATGTTATTTCAGCAACCTTTGTTAAACATGATTGCCATTATGAATTTTTAGCTTGAAACAGAATACAACAGAAAATAGAGGCAATGCTGGTTCTTGACTGTGAGTTGGATAATGTTAAGAACTTATGTTTTTGAAACAATACTACTGGAACCTAAAAGACTTGAGTACCTTATGATTTAAATTTTCTAATAGCAAATTATGAAGCCCTTTCAGCTTTAAAATATGTACAATGTCTTATCAGTTCAACTTTCATCAAAATATTTTGATACATAAAATACTTAAAAACAAATCAATATTTTATATGCAAAAATTACTTTGGAACTATTTTATACATCATCTTGGTCAGTTTAGATACAATTCATTTTTGCATTACAGTACTAATCAAAAGAGCAAAATAAGAGTATCAGCAATTCACAGGAGAAAGCTATTGTCCTGAAACTCGTGTTTTACATGGATGTGTCAAAGTATATCAAACAATTAACTAACATGAAAAGAATTCAGGCCAATTTGATATCTCATGATGCATTAGGGGCTTTGGGCTGAGATGCAGTCAGGAATTCCAGTCAGTCATTGCATAAGATGTTTTGGGTAAGGAATTTAGTTCTTCAACAAAGTAGTTTCTCCTTCAGGAATGAATTTTGCAAATAAACAAACCTGTAAGAGCTCCACTGAAAGTAAATTACATTGGAGTGAAATTGCCACAGGTCAGCATGATGCACTGATAAATGGAACTAATTCCATTTCGTGTAAATAATCCCAACACACCAGGTAATTTAAACAGAAGCTGTATATGGAAAGTAAATTTTTTGGTGGGGGTTTTGAAAATTACTTAAGTGATTAATTAATTTCTTTGAAATTAATTTTGTTTAGCTAACCCTAAATGCTATGGAGAAGTGATGTTTTGATTATTGAACAAACCAATGAATAGAGACATTTGAAGACTGGTGCATGTCCTGTAAGCCTTCATTTTGGAGAATTGTCATTTTAGAGTGTAATATTTGCTTTGAATGGGTGGAGTCACAGTGATGGTAGAACACTATTCTACTTTGTAATATGTGGTGTGTAAATGCAAGTTTTCCAAGAGAAAAATCAGTATATTCATACAGTCTTGCTAGTGGACAATAAACATGAAATTGTTCATCCATAAAGATCTGTAACTTCACCAGGTGTGAGCTTTGCTTTCAAAAGGGCCAATTCCCACATTGATGCATGTTTATGCCAATACAAAGTTAATGTTCTAAAGTAATCTTTAAATCATTAACAGCTTGCTTTGAGTCTTGCTGTAAAATTATTTCATTTAAGCAGATGTATTGCTTCATCTTTTGCTTTGATTAATTTTACTCAATGTATTGTACAAAATTATTTTAATAAAAGCTCCAAAATGATACCCTGTGTGAAGGGTGCTATATAAATGCAAATTGTTGTTCTTTGAGCATTTCATTTAGTTTGCTAGAACCTGAAGCTCTTGAACATGTGGTTCATGATGATTCAAAGTGTAGCATAAATTAAGTTTGAGCAGCAAGATCCCAAGTGGATTACCTGTAGTTCAATGGTCAAAAAGCCTAATTAATTCTCCACTGAAATCACTTCTCCCACATGTTTGACCGTGTCTCTTCACTCACCTCCGTCATTTCCTATAAGAAACCCACCCCTTGCTCCCTTGACCCCATCCCTACTCCACCTCCTTGCCCCCTACTAACAAACCTCATTAACCTCTCCCTGTCCACTGGCACCCATCCCCCCTAGACAGCCATCATCACCCATATCCTCAAAAAACCTTTCCTTGACCCATCTCTGCTCTCTAACTACCACCTCATTTCAAACCTTTCCTATCAAAGGTCAACTGGCTGCTCACTGGACTTCCCACCTTTTCCCTCTACAAGCTGCAGATTATTCAGAACTTTCACAACAGCTCATATCATCTCCTGCACCTGGCTCCGAGAACCTATCACCCCCATTCTTGCCTGGCTTCACTGGCCAGGCATGAATGGCTAGAGAATAGAGTACAAAACCCTTGTTCTTACCTTCAAGACACTCCAGTCTTGCTCCCCGCCCCTATCTCTCCAACTTCAAAACTCTATATCAGCCTTTCTGCTCCCTCGCTCAGCAGACACCAGCCTGCTTCAGGTCTCCCGCACTTCCCACCCCACCACTGGCAGTCAGGCATTCAGCATCTCTGTTCCCACACTCTAGAACTCTATCCTGCAATCCCTCCACCTCACTCCCTCTCTTGCCTCCTTCAAGTCCCGTCTGAACACCCTCCTCTTCAATCGTGCCTTCGGCCATCCCCCGCCCTCCTCCCCTTCTGACCTCAACTCTCAGCTCAGGTGTTTCTTCTTTCAACCTGCAAATGGACAATGGGAAGAAGACATGCTTTACATTAGAAGTACTAATCTCTACTTTAAGGTTTTCCCCTTTGAGCAATCTTTACCTATGTACTCCACTGAAGACATTGTTCAAAGCATTGTATATTTGGGATTTTTTAAATCACAGTAAACAAGCACACAATTGCCTTAAATTCCTACATCCAAACAACAAAGCAGAGAAATACACTGATACGAGGCAATTTTGTTTTTATTGCTGAAAATTTTCCCAAAGGGGGAAAAAAAAGGTAACTAATTATTGTAAATTTCATTACATAACCACAACACAAATGCTTGGGTTGCACTAAAATTATTTTATTTAACAAATAAACAAAATTGGAAATTGTCAACTAAGTACAGTAAACAAATCAGACCCCCCCAAAAAAAAACATTCTTTTAAGACTATTGTAGCAGTTCTCAGCCAAAACACAATCTCTACATCTTTTAACATGGCTCCAGAACAATAATTTGTTTTTCCTGTGCATTTCCGTAATGTCAGTTCTATCAAAGCACACACACAATTTAAACATTCCAAACGGGTTGTGCTTTCATTTTCTCTGAAGATGATTTTTTTCTGTCCAAATTTTACAAAAAAAAAATCCTTTAGGCTTCTTAACCTCTTGCAATCATTGTAATTGTCATCAATGCAACTGCCTTTGACAAACAGACACATTCTTGTGAATTTGCATTAACACTGTCTTGGGTTAAGAGACTGGAACATCCTGACATCTAAATCTAGGTTATTTCTAACATCCACACACAAAGATGTCTGGCAGAAATATCAAGTGAAAACATACTGCTATATTAAGTGCTTTTCACCACAGCAACAACTTGCATTTATATAGCGCCCTTCACGCAGGGTAGCGTCCCAGAGCGCTTTGTGAAGGGTTTAAGATTTCCCAGTCTTTGGTTAAATGTTGAATTCCTGGTTGTGGGCGAGCTGGAAGTTTCAGCCATGTAGCCAAAGCACCTCTCCCTCTCCCAAACTGGGCTGGAATAGGAATAGGAAATTCCCTCAAACTGTTTGTTGAAGTACACTTTCCATCTCCTAGCATAAAAAGATACAAGGGATATTTGCAATAAGGTTATTTTACTTTGTTTTTCTGGTCAAATGCTATCAACAGTTACTCAAGGAAGTCATTCATCAACATTAACACATTTTTTTTTAAACGGTTGGGGGGAGAGGAGAAAAGCGTGGAACAAATTCCAACTCTTAAGTGGGAGCAAAGCTCATGTTGATGGAAGTCATAGGAACAGGAGCTCGGCCATTCAGCCCCTCAAGCCTATTCCACCATTCTTTTAGATGAAGATAATAATAATAAGTGAATTGACTGTATATTTATGGGCGAAATGTGGCAGCCATGATGGCTTATCTTTACCTCAGCCCTAATTTATTTATGATTATTTATTAGAATATTTAAGTCATTCTATTAACTAATATTTGATTATTAGCAGCATTTAGGTATACAAATTAATCATCAATATTTTTGCAATAAATTCATTAGAAAATAAACCAATATTATCAAATTATATTCCACTTACCCAGGGAGATGCTGGAAGCTTCACCTTGAACAGGTGAACTGAAATACCTGTTGGCCACAGAACTCCTATCCATCTTTGACTGCTTTAGGAGATGGTAAAAGTGAAAGATTTTTTCAGTTTGCATCACATTTCTCAATAAATATTTCTGCAGTTAAAATGCAGTATCCTTTTCTGGTCGGTCACAGAGGCTTGATTTTATACCAAATTGTATACCAAAGATGTATAAAAGAGGCCTTGAAACATAAGAATTGTTCTTGATTTGATCTTACATATGATGAAACTGCATTAAAGCACCACAATTATCAACACCATCAATTATGCAGGTTATTGTTTTACAATAACAGGGAAAATCTAATTCACTGTTCAAGTGCCCAAATAAAACTCCTTAAGTAAATGGAATACTGGGTGGGTAGAGGGAAGGAAGGAATCCTCAGTATTTGAGTTTATATCCTAAACATAGTTAGACATACCTTGTAATTGTTATCCAACACTAGCACTTTAGGGTTCAACTTGGTGCCATAATCCAACTCTTTCTTAGGGACGTGTGATGGTGTAATCTCAAAATTGTAAGTGGAGGACAATGATTCACTGATGCAGTATCTGAAATTAAAAGGTAAGAAATAATCTGGTCAAATGTATAAAATAGGTGGCTAATTTCCATGATTCACTATTCCATTTTAGCAAAAAATACCACTGTGTCATGTGTAACTGAAAGTCATGCCTATTACAACAACTTCCATTTATATAGCGGCCTTCATGCAGGGTAGTGTCCCGGAGTGCTTAAGTGGCAGAGTCTGACCCGAGCCAGTGGGAGAGGGTAGGTGACCGTAAGCACGATCCAAAAGGAAAGTCTTTAGGCAGGATTTGAAAGTGGGGAGGAGGGGGTAAGGCAGAGGGATTGAAGGAAAGAGTTCCAGAGTTTTGGGGCGCAGTGGCTGAAGGCACGGCCACTGATGGTGGAGTGAGCAAAGGACAAACAGGAGGCTAGAGCCACCCGCACAGAGGTAGCAGGTGATGGAGTGGGGGTAAACAGATCGGATAGGTAGGGAGGTACAAGGGCATGTAGGGATCTGAAAACAAGTGAGAGAATCTTGAAACCGAACCATTCTGCAATTTGGAGCCAGTGGAGACTGGTGTATGGGGGTTTTGTGCAGATGATTATCCAGGTGGCAGAGTTTTGGATTAATTGAATTTTGTGTATGGTGGAGTTGGGGAAGACCAGCGAGGAGGGCATCGGAATAGCCCAGCCGGGAAGTATAGACAAAGATATTCAGCTGCAGGAAAATTGCGCTCATCCAGGCCTTGATGTCAGTCAAACAAGCTGATATCAGCAGACTGGGAGTCGCAGCTGAAAGAAGTTGATTTGGGTGTCATCTGCATACATGTGGAAGATGACCCCATGTCTGCGAATAACATCGCCGAGAGGAAGCATGTAGATGAAGAAAAGAAGGTGGCCAAGTATTGAGCCTCGGGATATCCTGCAGTTTTTTCGGGCGGGGAAGGGAAGAAAAACTATTTGCTGAGATGTATTGTTGGCGGTTTGTTAAACTGAACTCAAACCATGTGAGCACAGTCCCACTAAGGTGGATGAGGGAGGAGAGGAGATGGAGGAGGATGGCATGATCGACTGTGTCCAGGAGAACGAGGAGGCAGTGGGAGGAGGCAGAGCCTTATCACAGAGAAAAAGGACATAATTTGTTATTTTGACTAGTGCAGTCTCTGTATTGTGGGCAGGGCAGGTTTAAAATGGCTCTGAAGTTTGTGAGATTGGAGAGATCCAGGGTAGGTTTTTTTAAGGGAAGGAGTGCTGACAGCGGTTTGAGGAGGAGTGGGACAGAGCCTGAGGAGAGGGACAGGTTGACTGTGGGGAGGGGGTCGAGGCAGCAGGGTGATGGTGGGGAAGAACAAGGAGGGAGGGATGGGGGCACAGGAGTGTAGGGTGGGGGCCGTGATAGGAGCCGTGAGCCGCTTGTAGCTCTTTTATAACAATCCTTACATTTTCGTCTGGACAATGGGTGAAAGTCAGAATCTGACTTACGCGCATTTCTTGGCTACTGCCAGTGCACAGCACACAACATCTTGTTCATCATGCCATTTACATCTTCAGGAAACAAAAGTGAAGAATATTAGAAGCTTTTTCTTCCAAGTTATCAATGCAATTTCATTTTCAGGCACCCAAGATCAGCATCAAGCTTTCCCGGGTGAAACAGTTAAATGCACAATAACATTTCTTCTACTTGGCACCCAACCTCTTGTGCGGTGCCATATGTGCTGGCAATTTTGCCCAGTTTCAGAACTGAAGTGATTTTCATTGAAAAACGCAAATCAATCGAGGATGGGTATTGGGTAAGGGTGACTCTTGAGAGAGGTGGGGGGCTGGAGAAAGGAGAAACAGCTGGCAGGAGTCTCAATTTTAGAAAACAAGTCCATTTGCTCCCTGCATTTTGTATTGGAAATGACCAATTGATATTTCCATAGTCGGTCTCAGCATCTCAAGATCTGCATTTCCATCAATACGGTTCCTTGACAATCTACAAGGACTGAGAGGATTATGTTTTTGCTTTCAAATCCTTCATTGCTGTTATTAAAACCTATTTGTACAATCCTCTTCCAGTCCTATGTCCCAGCCCATGCACTCTAGATCTGATCCTGCTTTACTGTTCAAGCTTCATTCCCAACGCTCCACACTATCAGAGGCCAGGCATTCAACCATCAAGCCTTATCCTTGCTTCCAAAACTACTTTGCCCCACAACCTCTCTCCACACTTGAACATCTCCCAAAAGGCTCATCAATGATCTACTGCCTGTAACTTGTTACCCTGTGTTTCCCCACTCCCATTCTTAATGCACAAACCTGGTATTTGGAGCATAATCCCAAACTATCACATCCATCATTCTTTCCACCCTGGTTTTCGAAGGAGTCTGCATCAGTTTGTGTTCGTACAGTTTCACAATCAATTCCTCCAGCTCATAAACTTTCACCGGATTGATGGTGCCTAAATGAACATTTAAGGAATTTCACAACTATTATAATAGTAGAATCCTCCTCCTTGCCCACTCAGCTGATGCATTTAGGAAACTTTCAAGAGACAGTGTAATGTGCTTGCAATTTAACTCCAGCTCTCGTGAAACTGAGCATGTGTGAATTCCAGAATTTGACAGTTTCTCAGTTAGACTCTGTCCTGTTTGTGGGCTTCAAGTACAAACAACAATGCTGTGCTGAGATGGTAAGTGTGGGCAATTTGTAATGGGAAAGAAAGAACAGGGTTGGAAAAAAGGCTCCATTCGAAAAAAATGGACGATCATAAAATGACAGAAATGAAAATAATAACTCATTTTAATTTGGGAAGGCATTTCAAAGTGATTCACAAGATATACTGTAAAGGATATACTGTAATCTAACAATTTTCAATGCATCTCAAAGATTTCAAAAAGGAGTCCTGTAGCTCAGTGGTTAGAGCACTCGCTTTGCAAGCGAGAGACCTGAGTTCAATTCCAGGCAGAGCGAAACCTTGGGCAAGTTTCCTTACTCCACACGCCTAATAATAATCCCTCCAAAAACCAAAAACAATAATAAATTGGTCATTTTCGATCTACAACTGTTTGTGGGACATTGCTGTGCGCAATTGGCTGCTGCGTTCGCCCACAAATATACAGTCAATTCACTTTACAGTGTGTTCTGTGAAGCGCTTTGGGACGTCCTCCCGACGTGAAAAGCGCTATATCAAATGCAAGGATTATTATTATTCTTATTATTTTATTCAATTCCATTCTTGCTTTCTCAGGCCAATGAGGTGATAGTCAAATTAAAATAACTCCTGCGGGATTGGTTTGTGATAATAGATTGATATAAAAAGTTTGAGATGACGGTAACGTGGTTACCATAAAACATGCATGATTTTTAACATGATATTCCCTAAAATGTATGTCTCGACAAATGTCCTACTCACTTGCATGAGTAAATGAATTTGATGATTTCTAACAGAATTACATTTAAGTTTTTTTTTGCTCTCCTGTATACAATACGGAGAAGCAGAGGGATATGTTTTAGTATATCTCAAAAATAATTTGACGTGTTAATAGATTTTGTACTTTGATATTCACAGCAGCAAATAATAAACTTGCAGTGCGCAGTGAAGGCAGAAGTACTGTACTGGCAATCGCTTCCACGATAAGGTGAATTTGGGACACCAACTACTGCATTATAATAGGCATTAACTACATATGACAATTTATAATTCAAGTCATTTGTAAATATATCTAGCAAAAACATGTAGAGTGTAACCCTACTTAGAGATATTGTTTCCCCTCTCATAACTTTAAATAAATTACCATTCTTCATGATAACATGACAAGTTTTAGACACGTTTTTCACATTATACTCCAACTCCAACATTCAATGTAGAAAAAATACAGATCAAGAATATACTAATATCCTTCTGACAACACAGAAAACATTCATGGAAACAGTCATCATACTTATTTAATAAATATTTTATGTATAGTAACATTATAAGCAAACGTAAAAATAGAAAAATGCTGAAAATCCACAAGAAGTCAATAATCATCTGAAAGAAAAATATTAATTCATTTTCAGCATAATTCTTCACCAGAATAGAAGGGCTGGGAGAGACTCATTTGAACTTATTCATATAGAAAATCACAGCACATTATGTCTGCTGGCTCTTTGAAAGAGAAATCAATTCAGTCCCATTTACCTGCCTTTCCCTCCTCCCCCTCCCATACCCCTGCAAATAATTCATGTTTGGATAACTGTTTAGTTTTCTCCTAGTACCTGGCAGGGCATTCTACATCTTAACAACTCCAAAAATCTTTGCCTTTGTTAATTATCCTCAATTGAAACCTTCTAGTCATTAGTGACTAGAAATTATAATAAATAAATAATATAGAAATCATACTTTCACCGAATAGTGGAAATAATACCCTCCCCATTCTAGTTCTGACGTTGGCAAGGGTCATGCCCAAAACCTCAAGCTATTTTTCTCTTCCAGGTGATGATCCAGATTTCCAGCATTTATTTTCATTTCAGGTTTTCACTAATCTCATGTGCTCTTTTTAATCACAAACATACCTGCTTTGCTTGCTAACCAGTTCAGGCACCAGTCCACTCTGAAACATTCTGCTAACTAGAGAAGAAAGTAAACTGATCTTAGCTTCAAAGAATCTTCGAGTCAGAGATAAATAGCAAGTGCAATGAAGATTAACTTAAAAGCCAAGTTAGTACAAACCCACTAAGTTTGTTATTCTGAAATAATGAGACCCAGAGCTAGAAAGTCTTTTCATCCCATACCTCTCTTGTGATCTTGTGAACACAGAAACCATTTTGGATCTAAAAGAAAACATTATTATGGCCTGAGGGGCTAGGAGTAAATGTTTGTGACTGGAGCACTCCATGTTGGCCAAAGCTAGTAATGAATGAACTCATACTAAGCCTCAGCATTTCAGCGGTTTCCAAAAAGGCATTTCCTCACTCTCAGTGTTTGAGTGTCCTTGGCTAGAACTCAGGTGGAAGATCTGAAAAGCTAGCCAGCAACACAGGACATTCTAGGTAGCAAACTACTGTCACAATTTTCCTGTGAACAGGACCACAAGGGTTCAGATGAAGAAGGCCCTTCAGCGCACTTGATTTCATCCTTCTAGAATACCTATCCTACAGTTTACTCATAGCTGCATCCATTAAGATGTTTCTTAAATGTCACTCTGAGGGCAACTGTCCTGACTGCAGGACCAAGGTAATGTAGAAAATACATGTCCACAGCTGCCGGGAGGCAAGCAGAAGCAAAGGTCTTAAAGGGGCATTGTGCTATGATTGTCTCTCTCCTGCTTTGTGACAACTGACCTATCCAAACCCTGCAATCTCCTGGAATTGCCTGTGAAGCACTTTGAGACACTTGGAAGTTAGAGGGGACATATCAAATACAAGGATTATTAATTACAAACAAACAAGAACTATTTGGCTGGTCCTTCTCACCAACATTTTCTTGGGAGTCCACATCTCAGACTAGTGGCATTTTCCACCCGATTTATTCAAAATTAGATCACATATTACCTTACAGTATACTGCAATACAGCCGTTGGTCTTTACTGGCTTCAGAAAAGTAAAGAGCTCTTGAAAGATGTGGTTGTAATTGGCGCTTCCAAGTTCAAAGTTTGAAAGAGGAATCTTGTGGGTGGCATCACCTAGTAACAAGTTTAGTTTTAAAATTCTACCAACTTCTTGAAAAAAAATTGGACCAAAATCAGTTAACCATGATTTGTGTAGTTTATAAGAGGTAATATATTTCCTTCCTAAATATGCTGTTGTTTTTCCATTCAATGTTATAATGAGCAAAATATTGTTACATGAGATGACAAGAGACAATCACTGTGACTGCTGAAAAATAAACTTAAATTCTTATCAAAAGATGTTCTCCTATAGATTTTCCCAGACCTCATTAAGTTGAGTTATTGTCTCACTAATTGATCGTCCTTTTCTTTTTTCACTGAACTAATTACCTTTCTGCGACAGGCAACGATTAAAAGAAAAGGTAGTCCCTGGAATTGAATTCCAGTTTGCACCATAGGTATAAACTGACTAGTCAACCACATGCACTGTGTATATTAATACATTCCTATATCGCTGGAAAGAATTTGCCATTCTTTCCAGCCGGAAAGCATTTGTTATTGTTTCCAACAAGAAATAATTTGTTATTGTTTTCAGCAGGAAAGAACTTAGGATCAAGAACACAGATCTATACTGTACTTCCTGTCATGAAGTTATATTCGATGGGAGCTCGGGAGGTTTGTACAAAAGACCTTTTTTTAAAAATTTAAGATTACACATTCTCTTAGTGCACATTTTACATCGTCTGGATTCGTATTGCAATTGTGCAGATCGATTTTCTGGTGAATCCTTCTAGCATTGTATGCAACAAATCCAATTCCTACTATCTTTACGGTAACAATTTCACCAATTGGTTTCTCCAAAAGGTTGGTATGAACTGGGCATAACACACTTGTTTATCAACTTTTAGTTCATATTGCTTTGCAGTTAAACTAAGAATTGTGCTGCCAGTGCTGTGGATGACAGTCCTCAACCTGCAGTAAAATTTCCCATTGACAAGAGTTTCAATAAACATTAATGTGAAGGTCAATCAAGTAGAAGGTTTTCAGCTACTTACTTGAGGCCTGACAATGGTAACGAAATCCCCGAGGGATTGTGCCTGAATTAGTGAGAATAGAAAGGAATTGAAAAAATAAGTGATTTAATCACATAGCAGAAAATACACATCTTCATTTCAACCAAAAAATGTACAAACAGAAAAATGAAGGCTGTTGTAGGTTATTTAAAGCCAAAGTTTAATCCTCTAACTCATTGTGATAGGAGCCTGGTTAACGTGTGATACTGAGTTCTTTTTAAAAGAACAATGTTGTGCTGCTTTGCACAATGAGCCATAAAGAGATTGCGAGCTGCCATTTTGCAAGTGCCAATTATCTTGCATTAAAAACTTCTTAACAGATGATTGATAGCCACATGGTCTTACTGAAGTTCATTTTAAACCATCTACAAAATTAAGTTTTAATTTTAAAAAATTTCCACAATTCTGCCCAATCTTACATTCTAAAGCAAAATGGTCTTACAGGTTAAGACCAAATGTAATTTGGGCACCAGAATTCTAATTCACTATTAACTATTACTGTTCCAGCAATCCAAGCTATACACATGTTCTAAAATATCCTAGCCAAGCTATTACAGAGAATATGATGTATTCCCTTAAACTAACAAAACAAAGTGTATTGTGGTTACTCACCTGGATCTATGAATTTATGAAACTCACCAATGATGCCTCGATTCATTGAATATTTTACACAACCAATTTCACATGGCAAAAAACGCTGAGTGCAGGTTGAGGGTAGATCTGCCATGCTTATAAAACTGATAAAATAGAAGGTTTCATCACACACGGCTTGTTGAGATAATGGGGTGGGAAAAAGGGGAGGAAAAGAGCAGAAAGAGAAATGTAACAGTTATATTAGAGAATAATCTTTACACTTTACAAAATTAGGCTGGTCATGATTTGGGTGTAGGAAGAAAACTAGTTTCATCAACAATAAAACCCATCTAGCAGTACAGTAATCCCTGTGTCATTTTATCTTTTCATTTGATAAAGGGTCTATTAAACATCTCAAGAGTTCTGGTAAGATTAGTGGCTGCGCATTTGTAGACAAATGGTGAGCCAATTTGCGCACTGCAACACGCAGTGCCATGAAGAAGTCATGAAGTGAATGATCAATTTTATCTGGAGGATCGATGGACAGGACACAGAAAGAAACACCTTTCTCTTTTGAAGACAGTTATATCTTATCCGAAGGACAATTCCTCCACACTGGAGTCCAAATTGGTAAGTGGATATGCAACTGTTGGTGTTCAGGTAAGCAGCTTCCTACTGTATTTAATTAAGTGATTCATGTGGAGAAAAAAAAGACAACGCAGATTGAATGAGCTGAATAGCCCATTATTCTGCTATGACATGCTATGATTTTAGCTCATATTCTACTATAATTATTGTGCACTTTAGGAAGAGGTTGTAACTAGTTTGTTTTACGAGCAGATTAAGAGAAATTTGCAAATTAGATTTTAATTCTAAAGAATGAACTCTAAAGAATAAACATAAGCAACACAACAGTAAAACACCTGACAATAATTCATTATAAAATATCTTATTTTCTCCCAGACCAGTACTGCAATCCCACTGTTATTTTATCCATACAAGTGTTCTTGCTTCATGCTTGTACAAGCGCTGTTTACAATACAAATCGTAACAAACTAACAATATTTCAAATATCCAATTTAAATAAAATTATAGATGTTTCCAAATATCCAACACTTGCATTCCCTTTTAAAACATGCTAGCTTTGGCAACAGTAGAAAGAAATGTGTATTAATAGGCAAATCAGTACTGTATTACATGTGGTATTAACCCAACCTAATAATTTATCAGTAAGATTACTCTTGCATCCTTTGCTCTATAAATCCAGGCACATGAAAGTGAACCATAGTTGCCCTATGAACACAAGCTCAAAAGAACAAAACTACATGAACGGTAGTATATAAATGCAAGTTGATGGTAAAACACATTGTGGGGGGGGGGGGCAACAGTCAATTAATATGCCATGAGCTAAAAATAGATACAATCAAAGACTGATAGTACAAAAACATGGCTACACATTATTTTGTGATCCCAAAAGCATTTCAGTTGAGTAGGCAAGCAGTTATCTGATGGGCAGATATGGGGTGCTTACTTTGATTTGCATTTGATGCGGTGCCTTATTAATTCAAAATGTCTCAAAACTCTTCAGAAACAACAAATTACTTTGAAAATGCAGCGACAGTTGTGCAGGTATCCGCGGCAGCAACTAGTCTGTACCGGTGTTTATACTCCATAAGCCTCCAACCAATACTGTATAGTTCAGATTTATAAATGTTCTCCATTAAGTCTTACCAAAACACTAAAGCATGGATTAAAAGAAACAAACGTTTCACGACTGCTTAACGCAGGTCAGATAAACCTTGTTTATTGCCATTTCTAAATCAGATCCAAAAAAGACAGTATTACACTTACTATTTACCATCTTAAGATACATTTGTAAGTTGAACACACCATGGGAACAGAAAAACCTTTCATCTCAACAAACATCGGACAGAAATCCTCAAATCATACAGGTTTACACTACGGTTAATGAAGTGAAATACCTTTATCGCTTGGCCAGAACATAAGTGGGATGCCTATATCTCTATTATGAGTGGCTGGTTTTCCTACAGCAGGGAAGAGAGGGTTCTGCAGATTTAAGAAAAATAAAGATTATATGAGACAAAGTAAGCCCCTTGAACTACGGCACAGGTTTTGCACATGCAAAATGAAACAATTTGCCTGGAGTACATCATACCCATTCACTCTGTGCATGTAACAAATGATTTGCTCTTTGAAACGAGCGAGTCCAAACACAAGGAAGTGGTGGACATTCAAAGGCATAAAAGACAATGAGTGTTTCATAATCACACTCTGCAATCTGTGCTCCAACTTGGCAGGCCATCACTAGTGAGCAACCCATATTTAGCCCTGCAGCTCAGCCCAACACAGAGCAGAGTCTCGGAGAATATAAAATCAGTCTTCAAAGTGCAACAAGCTAATTCAATGAAACGGACGATTCAATCAGTGGCAACCAGGAAACTCTGTTTAGCTCCAGACTGCAGGCACAAACTTCTAGTCATATCTTAAACTTTTACAGTTTACAAACAAAACATGACATGTTCATTCACCCAACATTTTACTCCTGTAGATCTGAAATGAGATGGTAAACCTGGAGTTAACAGGGCAGGAGGAAGGAAAGCAAGCTTAGCTATATTTTTTCACACTGAAAAGGTTATACTACAATTAAGATTCTGCAGACCTGATTTTTGGCTGTAGGTTCATTTAACACTTTGCCTTCATTCTCAGCTTTCCACTGCTGCGCCATCTGTACATACTTCTCTCTCTCCATTGCAGTCAGCAACTTTGGTAAAATAAAAATTAAATATAATCAGCACAGTTTGGAGCCTGTTACTAATCAGCACCTTCATTATTAAATACTGACATAAAAGATGCTGAGTAACTATCAAATATTAGTAACATTTTTTGTTCAAATAAAGTCACATTTTGTTGCTTTTTATTTCTATTAAGCACCTTTCCTCTTTTTGGGCTTAATAATATATTATCATTAACACTATTTTTTGCAGTACAATGCCCTAATATTAGTACCGATTGCACTGCTAACATTCACAGATACTATGCAATTATGCAGTTACACAATGTGGCAGGGAATTACAGTGCAAAACACACAAAGGACTCTACTGACAAGGAGCGCTGTAAAGTGACATGAGGGCATTTGGCATTTTACAATCACACAGTGAGCTCTGTAGCCAGTCAGCGCTCTACATTGAGCTCTGTAGTTATACAGCTAGTTCTGTAGTCAAAATAAGCAGCAGTCACTGCGCAGGGAGCACAAACTGTGAGCTCTGTACATGGAGCTATAGTCAATCACACTGAGCTCTGTACAGGGAGCTGCAGTCAGCGGCACTGAGAACAGAATGTTAGTATCCGGTCAGCCCTCTGTGGTGGTCTCGGTAGTCCAGTTCCTGAGCCAGGCGGGTCCGCAGTATTCCAGGGCACTGCTGATGAGGTGCCATCCTTTGGTTTCTCAGGATGTATTGCAAAGCATAGCGACTGGTACCTTTGTAGGGTACCTTTGAGCTGAACTGGCTCCAAGGTGACACGCCCGGCAATGGAATTTCGGAATCGAGCAGCACTCTGCGGCGGCCTCGATAGACGAGTTCCTGAGCCAGGCGGGTCCGCAGTGTCCCTGGGCACCGCTGATGACAGCACGACCAGCCCGGCTCATCGGCAGGACTTGGAAGGGCAGACCAGTCACTGGGGCAGGGAGGGGGGGGGGGGGAAAGGGAGTCATCCCACTCAGCGCCTGTTAACCCTGCAAGCCAAAGCCCGAGCTGGCAGGGTGGTCTGCAGGTAGGGCTTTGGCTTGCAGGGTTAACAGGCGCTTGCCGGACAGCGATATCGATGACACGCTCTGCGGTTTCAGCCGGTCAGGCCGCAGCGGGACCACCAAGCACACGCTCTGGGGGTCCCCACGCCTCGGCTCTCGCCAACCTAACTTTCCGAAAGTATGAGGTGCAGGTTGGCGAGAGTGCGTCGTCCATCCCTCCAGATGGAGGGAGGGAGAGAGAGAGAGAGAGAGAGAGTGAGGAGAGAGTGCTGGGGCTTTGGGTTCCAACAACCTCTATCCTCTGGGATTTTACATGTGCAGGTGGGAGGCATGGAATTCCCAGTTTAGGTTGGATTCCCTTTGCGGAGTCCTGCAGCTCAGTGGTTAGAGCACTCGCTTTGCAAGCGAGAGACCCGAGTTCAATCCCAGGCAGGTCCCGGGCGAAACCTCGGGGCCAAGTTTCCTTACTCCACGCGGAGCCTAACAACAATCCCTCCCCCCCACCCCCCAAAAAAAAACAAACCCCAAAACCGATAATAAATCGGTCATCTTCGATCCGCGACCGCGTGCGGGACACCGCCGGGCGGGACACCGCCGGGCGGGACACCGCCGGGCGGGACACCGCCGGGCGGGACACCGCCGGGNGGGACACCGCCGGGCGGGACACCGCCGGGCGGGACACCGCCGGGCGGGACACCGCCGCGCGCGATTGGGGGCCGCCGCGTTTTCGCCCACACACACGCACACACACGATTCACTTTCCGGTGTGTTCTGCGAAGCGCTTCGGGACGTCCTCCCGACGTGAAAAGCGCTGTATCAAATGCGAGGACTATTATTATTATTATTAGTTACTATTATTATTATTATTATTATTAAGCGTGAGAAGAGGTGGGGAGAGGTGGGGAGAGAGGGGGGGGGGGGGGGAGGAGGGGGGTCAGAGAGTGAGCCCGAGCCCTGCCCCCGGGGGGGGGAGCAGCCTCTCACCACCCAGTCCCAGCTGCAGAGCGGCGCCGCCTCCTTCAGGCCCTTCACTTCCAAACCCCTCCTCCTCAGCTCCGGGATCTTCTCCAACATGAAGAAATAGTAAGGGTTCCTGAGCGGCCTCCTCTGAGCCATGTCTGGCGGGAGGAGCTGAGGCCCGGGGCCCGGGGCCGGGGGGGTGTGTGGGGTGTGGTTGGTGGTGGTGGTGGGGGGTGGCGGTTGGTTGGGGGGGGGCGCTCCTGCTCTTCACGATCCCGCCCGAGTCACGCGGCTCCAAAGGGCGGGAAGAGCCGAGCCGCGCCGCGCCGCGCACAGCGCCACCTGCAGGCGGGAGGTCAGCAGCACATGGCACTCAACTCAACTCACTCATCCAATCCAATCCATCCATTCACTCACTCACTCACTCACCCCAAATCCTGCCTTCTGTCACACAACCAACACTTTGCCTTTATTCTCAGCTTTCCATCTGTATGCACTTCTCTCTCTCTCTCTCGACCCCCCCCCCCCCCCCACCCCCAGTCACAAAGGTTGCGTGCGCAGCCATTGGGCTCGGCTGCAGCGCCCGCCAAAGCCGACCGCAAAGGCTCAAACACGAAGCATAGCCCTCCCCCCACCCAAAAAAAAAAAAATTGGACAAAACTATCAGGGTCACCACTGGCGTCCTTGGTAACTCTACCAATTCCAGTAGAGGTTAAAAAAAAAAAGAGTTGAATGTCTTCGGGAGAGCAGGAAAGAAAATTGCCTCCTTTATTCGCTCCTTGTGAACAACAACTTGCATTTGTATAGTGCCCTCCACCCCAGGCGGCATCTCAGAGCGCTTAACAATGGCGGAGCCCAAGAACGAGCCAGGCAGAGGGGGAAGGTGACCGTAGGTGCAGTCGAAGAGGAAGGACTTCGGGGGCGACCTGAAGTTGGTGAAGGGGGGAGGTGGGGGGGGGGGGAACGAGGCAAAGGGGTTGAGGGAGAGAGTTCCAAAGTTTCAGGGCATAGTGGCTGAAGGCACGGCCGCCGATGGTGGAGCGGAGGATTCGGGGGACACGAAGGAGGCAGGACCCAGGAGAGCAGAGGCAATGGGTACTGCTGTGGGGAGTGAGGAAGTTACAGACATAGGAGTGTGCCAAGGAATGAAGGGATTTAAACACTAGAGTGAGGATCTTGAAGTCGATCCGCTCTGTGACAGGAAGCCAGTGGAGTTTGGCAAGGACTGGGGTAATCGGGATATGCGGGTGAGAATGCAGGTGGTGGAATTTTGAATGAGCTGAATTTTGTGAAGAGTGCAGGAGGGGAGACCGGTGAGGTCTCGTCAAGTCAAGTGCTTTGAGAGGTTCATCCATTTTATAAATGCAAGTCGTGGAGTCCTGTAGCTCAGTGGTTAGAGCACTCGCTTTGCAAGTGAGAGACCTGAGTTCAATTCCAGGCCGGGCGAAACCTTGGGCAAGTTTCCTTACCCCACGTCTAATAATAATCCCTCCAAAACCAAAAACAATAATAAAATTGGTCATTTTCAATCTACGACTGCTTGTGGGACATTGCTGTGCGCAATTGGCTGCCATGTTCGCCCACAAATATACAGTCAATTCACTTTACAGTGTGTTCTGTGAAGCGCTTTGGGACGTCCTCCCGACGTGAAGAGCGTTATATCAAATGCAAGGATTATTATTATTTATTATTAAGTTTTAGGCGACAACTTCGTTCAATTAGTAGCACTCTAACTTCAGAGTTGGAAGGCCATCGGTCCAAATCCCATATCGGGACCTGAGGGCTTGAGACACTATCTTGTGTGAAGGTTGCTTTAAAAATGGTTGTTGTTAAGATTAATAAATGGTGGTTGTTGAGATTATAGTCCAAGATGCCAATTCAGTACAGTACTGGTGTAGTGTCATGTTGATGGAGGCGCTGTCATTCGGATGAGACATTTAAACTGAGGCTCCATCCTCGGGTAAATGCTAAAGATCCAATGACACGCTTTAAAAAGAGAGGAAAGGTTTGCTCAAGCAAACAAGCTCCAGGCCCACAAAAAAGTTAATTCACCACATGGAGGTCTGTGGGATCTATTTGCAAATATTCATCTGAAGCCTCATCATGATCTGATAAAGGCATTGCTCTATGGAAAGTGTTAAGCCCAGTAATTGTTTTTAAAAAGAATCATTGTGCAACCTGGGTGAATGGCTAAGGTGCACACTGCAAGACAGCAATAACAACAACTTGCATTTATATAGGGCTCTTCACACAGGGTAGCATCTCGGAGAACTAAGTTGAAGAAATATACATACGTGTCCAGCACCATTTCTTTGAAGAAATACAAATGTATATTTTAACTTTGGGACCAGCTAGAAGGATCACAATGGTCATTTCTGGTCTTGTATTGTTAAGAGTATATTAGTTTGAAAAGAGTCGCAGAGCAATCTTGATAAATCAAAAAGTAACAAAATGAGGTCAGGCATGTGCTTTAAAAGCCTGCAGTAATAATAATAACAATCCTTGTATTTGATATATTGCCTTCCATGTCAGGAGAAATCTCAAAAGTGTTTTACAGGATATATAATAATAATAATCTTTACATTTGATGTGGCGCTTTTCACGTTTTCTAGATGTCTCAAAGCGCTTCACAGAATGGACTGTAAAATGAATTGACTGTATATTTGTAGGCAAAAATACTTTACAAGTGTAGTGACTATGTATTTTGAAGGCGAGCGTGGTAGCCAATTTGTACAATTTTATAATTATACAATTATGCAATTATGTAATTCCTGTAGCAGGAAGGGAGGAGTTCACCAGTTTGGAATGTGATACACAAAATTTCAGAGCCATGATTCACACACCATAGTTTGGACTTAATTCTGACTGCTTCAGTTGCTGACTGATAAGCAAGCGAGAGGACCCAGTTTGTTTCCCTGGCGGGGCAAAACCTTAGGCAGGTTTTCTTGCTCCACACACCTCCATTTACCTAGCAGTAAGTTGGAACCCGGTTGTTAGTCAATTGGCTTTCTGAGGATAATAATACCTAAAAAAAAATTCTGGTCGCTCAATCCCCGAATGTTTGTGGGACACTGCTGTACACAATTGACTGCTACGTTTCGCCCACAAAATACAGTCAATTCACTTTACAATAAATCGTGTGAAGAACTTTGAGACATCTCAACAATGTGACAAGGTGTTATATCAAATGTAAGGATTCTTATTATTATAAAAGTTAATGTGTTCAGTGCTATGTAGGGGTGCACACTCCAAGCATGAGAAGACTGATCATTGAATTCATTGAGGTCTAATGTGCAGCAAGGTGATTTGTGGAAGGATTTTGTAAATATGCAAATGGAAGCACATCACGTTGACCTGCAGGAACTCAACTCTGATGGAGTCTGCTTTGAGGGTGGAGACCTCCATTTAACATCTGAGAAGCATCTCCAAGAATGTAGCACCACTCTCTCCTTATCGGGGTTGTGTCCATTCAGGAATGATTATGATGTCTATGTGATACACTTACAGTTCCTGATAGAAATACCCATTTGGATTCCTATTAGGGAATCTTGTTACAACAACAGTACCTTTTTTAGGTATTCACCATATATTAGACCCCATTGATCTTAGCAGATTCTATACACCTCACTAGGATATGCTTATTGCTCTATTGAAATTATTTAGCTCTGTTCATTAACATTAGCGCTCCGAGACACTACCCTGCATGAAGGGAGCTACATAAATGCAAGTTGTTGTCTGTCAGCACAAAAAGTTTTTGGTTACAAAAAAGCATGTTAATACCGCAAGTTAAATACTGTAAATATTTTTGCTAACAATTGCAGCAGATCTTCCTAACTAAACACATTAGTCTCGGTGGAGCTTTGAAACATAATCCAGTGTCAATGTCCAACTACTTGGTCACTCAATCCACGACTGTTTGTGGGACACCGCTGTGCGCAATTGACTACCACGTTTTGTCCACAAAGTATACAGTCTCAATTCACTTTACAGTATATCCTGTGAAGCGCTTTGAGACGTCTCAAAGACATGATAAGACGCTAGCTATATCAAATGCAAGGATTATTATTATTATTATTATTACTAAAGGTCTTCCTTGTTGGTGGAAAAACTTCATGTATTTATGTCGAGGAGAACTGACATTGTTTATCTAAAGAGCTGGTAGGGTGTACAACAACAAAGTGGGGGGGGGGGGGGGGGGGGGGGAGGGAGTGGGGATTCAACGCAGTATTTTTTGAAAACAGAAAAAAAAAGACTCAATTGGGGGGGAAAAAAACCCACACAGCTATGTCATCCCAACTTCAACCCAACCTTGAAGAGGCTTGAATGGAGCCATGTGATTGGCAAAGTCCATCGAGAGGCAAAGGGAGGAGGAGGTGGGGGGGAGAGGAGGTGAGGAGGAGGAGGTGGTGGGGGGAGAGGAGGAGGTGGGGGGGAGAGGAGGTGGGGAGGGAGAGGAGATGGGGGGGAGAGGAGGAAGAGTGGGGGGGGGAGAGGAGGAGGAGGTGGGGGGGAGAGGAGGAGATGGTGGGGGGAGAGGAGGAGGTGGGGGAGGAGGAGGGGGTGGGAGGAGGAGGTGGTGGGGGGGAGAGGAGGAGGTGGTGGGGGGGAGAGGAGGAGGGTGGGAGAGGAGGAGGTGGGGGGGGGAGAGGAGGAGGTGGGGGAGAGAGGAGGAGGTGGTGGGGGGGGAGAGGAGGAGAGGTGGGGGGGGGGGGGGGGGGGGGGGGGGGGGGGGGGGGGGGGGGGGGGGAGAGAGGAGGAGAGGTGGTGGGGAGAGAGGAGGAGGTGGTGGGGGGGGGGGGGGGGGGGGGGGGGGAGAGGAGGAGGGTGGGGGGGGGGGAGAGGAGGAGGAGGTGGTGGGGTGGGAGGTGCAGAGGGTGGAGTAGACAACCCGGGGTTTGGTTTGTGGGTCAATGGCGATCCGGATGACGAAAGGTATCAGCCGACCTCTTAAGTGCTACTGTTGATCTGTTTACGCCAATGTAAATCCCCCCAACCCCCCCCCCCCCCACCCCCCACTCTCTCCCTCCCCCCCCCCCCCCCCTCCCCACCAGTGGCCAGTAACAGGTGGCTGTCAAAGCCTTTGGCTGAGATACTTTTACGTCTTAGTTTGCAGAGGGAAAAGAGAAAGAGAGAGAGAGAAAAGAGAGAGAGAGAGAGAGAGAAAAGAGAGAGAGGGAGGGAGGGAGCTGATTGCAATGGGAATTATAAATCCCACCCACACCCCCCACCATCACCACCACCACCTCAAGTCGGTCCTAACAAAGCCTCTGCCATGTAACGTGAAAGCAGTGCGACAATGTGGATGGTCTCAGTGCCCCTCTGCCTCCTCTGGCTGACAGGTAAGAGAGAGAGAGAGAGGGAGGGGGGGAGAGAGAGAGAGGGGGAGAGGGGGAGAGGAGAGGGAGAAGAGGGGAGGGAGAGGGGAGAGGGAGAGGGGTGGGGGAGAGGGGAAAGCCTTTCAAACTTAAATGCATTTGAACTTTTGCAGCCTTCCCCCCCCCCCCCCCCTCCCTCCCCCCTTCCTCCCCCCACACACCACCACCAAAAAAAATACCCCAAACGCGACTGTGGTGTTGGGAGTGTGTGAGTGTGTGTGAGTGGTTTTTTTTTTAACAAAACACCACAGGAGTGTAGCGGGTGAGTGAACCCATCCCACATGGGCTTCTCCATCATCACCAGGAGGGGCTGTTGTTGTTTGGTCGTTGTTTGTGTTGTTGTTGTTGTGGTGGTGGTGGTGGTGGTGGTGTTTTTTTTTGCTCCCACTCTCACCCTCTCTCTGCAAAAGCCGTCCCCCACCACCACCGCCACGATCGTGTTCCACCGGTTTCTTTCCCTGCGCTGATCCGCCAGAGGATTGCATCGCACTTCGTTTTTATTTTAAAAGAGGGATTTGGAGGAGTTTTTCTGTCCCACTTTTCCCTCTCTCTCTCTCTCTCCCTCCCTCTCTCTCCCCTCCCCAAACACTCCCTTACACTCCCTCCCCACACACCCCCCCCACACACACCCCTCACCCCCTCTCCCACCCACACACACACACACACACACCCCTCACCCCCTCTCACACACACACACACACACACACCCCTCACCCCCTCTCCCACCCACCCACACACACACACACCCCTCACCCCCTCTCCCACCCCCCCCCACACACACACACCCCTCACCCCCTCTCCCACCCACACACACACACACACACCCCTCACCCCCTCTCCCACCCACACACACACACCCCTCACCCCCTCTCCCACCCACACACACACACACACCCCTCACCCCCTCTCCCACCCACACACACACACACACCCCTCACCCCCTCTCCCACCCACACACACACACACACACACCCACACACCGCACCACCCCATACCCTCTCCTCCTGTTCCTTCGCCCACATGTCACCCACCAGCAGCTAAACTTTTAACGGTGTTTATTCCCCTCGAGGCTCTGCCTCATTCCCACGCCTTCTTATTTCCTTTTGCAACGCGTTTGATTTGCGTGGGGGAAGTGCCTGCACACCCGCATTTCTTTGCGAGCCCGTTATAATAATCCTTGCATTTGATATAGCGCTTTTCACGTCGGGAGGACGTCCCAAAGCGCTTCACAGAACACACTGTAAAGTGAATTGACTGTATATTTGTGGGCGAACGCGGCAGCCAATTGCGCACAGCAATGTCCCACAAACAGTCGTAGATTGAAAATGACCAATTTATTATTGTTTTTGGTTTTGGAGGGATTATTATTAGGCTCTGTGTGGAGTAAGGAAACTTGCCCAAGGTTTCGTCCTCTGCCTGGAATTGAACTCAGGTCTCTCACTTGCAAAGCGAGTGCTCTAACCACTGAGCTACAGGACTCCGTTATCCGCAAGGCACACAAAAAAAAACACCCACCCACCCACCCCTCCTGGTTTGTGCTCGTGTCTTGTGCCTTGTGTGGGGTGTGGGGTGTGAGCCATGGGATGGCTTTCTCTGCAGCCCCCTTTTTCCAACAAACCAAGACGACAGGATCCCGACTTGCATCGTGTAATTTTATGCTCTTTTTTTGTTGTTGTGTTGTTTTAAAAAAAACAACAGGTTTTTTTTTTGGGGGGGGGAAAGGCAAAAAACAACATCTTTTTTGTTTCCGCAAAACTTAGCAGTCTGTAGATGCAAATGCAAATCAAATGCAAGGATTATTATTATTATTATAAGTGCACATCCTGACTCATTCCTGCACACCATTTCCACTCCCTCCACACCCCCCCCCCCCCCCCCACTCCACCCCCTACACTGGCATTGTACAAGTTCTGACTCACACACACACACACTCACTCGTTTGCTCACTCACTCATACTCAGCACATCTTTCTTGACCCCAGTTTCAGTCAACTCTATTGTCGTTTCTCTCCACCCAAAGTTCAAAAGAAATGTTATGCTTGGATCAGGAGTTCGGGACCGCAACGCAAACAAAACAAAACACAGCACCGAGTAATAGAAACTGGACTTTGGAAAAATCTGTGCTTGAATAAGAAGCGTGGGTCTTTTTTTTCAAAACTTAAGAAGTTCTCCAAAGCTTTGTGGCCGTTCCAGTTGTTGGAGGACGAGAGTGGGTTCTCTTTGGCCGATTGAGTGTGTTTTCCAAGCCCTTGCATTAAATACAATTGCGACATTTCTCGTTGCTTGGCAATCTGAAAAGCCACCGAAATTGAAGTGCAGTTTTGCAATTGATTTTGAAACAACACACTGCAGTATTTGGGATTTAATTCTGCTCTGCAAGCCCTCAAACATGAATTTGTTCAAGTTAAGTCCTATTCCTATTTCCGCTCCTTTCACGAGGGTTTCGTGAGTTTGTTCCTCTGTTTTTAATAAATAACTGTAACACAGTTTCCAAACGTATAGTTTAATGTTATTTATAATGGAATGCCAATTCATGAGTTAAAATTCATGTTATATGTGTTACATGCATGCATCAGAATACTGCCCCCCCCCCCCACCGCAGAAAGTATCTGGAAACTTCCCCCCCACTATAACAAGAAGTCAAACGTATAGCTGCCACTATGATGAGGGAAAGAGGTGATAATGTGGAGATTTTAAATAACAAAACGTTTTCTAAAATTACTACAGTTGCATTTTCTTTTGTTTTTCTTTTAACAAAACCAAGAGGAAGCACTTCTGCCCAGTTAGCACTCAATGTGAATGTTTTAACTCTTGTAACAAAGCTTAATATTGCATTTCATAAATTAAATGTAAACTAAAGAGAATAATCATAAGTTACCAAGATTCAGCACGGTTAAATTACAATGAGATATCTCAAAGATGTGATAAGACGCTATATCAAATGCTATTATTATTAATGTAAAATGTTTAATGGCAGTAACACAATCTGAACAAATGTTTTGTTCCATCAATAACATGGGAAAAAATATTATTTGACAGCACATAGTAAAACATCAAGTCACCTGATAGTTATTCTCTTGAACAGTCAATACTGAGCAATGATTTGTGCAAACAAAATGACAAATTATATGTCTGGCATGGGATTTAGAAGCAAGAAAATAAATCATGTTTTTTGTTGCACACCATCGGTGGTAACTGGAAAGAAATTCCCTGCAGAAATTAAAACCACAACCCTAGAAACAGTAAGTTAACATTGCTAAGCTTGTATCCACTAAAGAAGTCACCACTAAATAAAGTTTTGTTTTTACACCTTGTTACAAAATGTGCAAACAGTCTGAACATTATTTTCATGAGTTGTCAGACTGGAAAAAAGTGTGTCCTCAGTGATCTTATAAAGAATTTTGCTGGAGCTTTCTGAAAAATAATTCATGTTAATTTTTTGATTTACTGATTTGTCACAGTGTGATAAGAGTGACTATTACTGTAGAGTGCATTTTTTTTGTCATTGTAGAAACCCATCACCATGCTTAAGAGTATCTTGACCATACTGAGAGTTCCACATATATATATCACCTACACATGGACATTTCTCGGTGTCTGGAATGGTGTGTTCACTCTCTTTCTGGAGGGAATGCACCCTGTCCACCTATTTCCTGAGAGAATTGAGTGCAAGTTCGCAAGAGCCAAGACTGGGGGACCCCAGAGATGGCAAGACAGTGAGCCGGGGGTTGGTGAAGTTGACCGTAGACATGGTCGAAGAGGAAAGTCTTCAGGCGCAACCATATCAAAAGAATAGCAGCAGTAGTCAGTCATATCATTGTCATTAGCGCTTGTGGATTGATAGCCAAGCTGTATTGTTTTGGGCAGTTTGTCATCAGTAATCATTTATCTCTTATCCTTTGGTTTTGTTTGTATGTACTGTAGTTAGATCTAAGTTTTGAACAGTGAGGGGCTCCACCCATGGTTTCCTGGTGATCAAGGAGGGCTGATGAAATGGGAGACAAGAAATGGAGCTGTAGATTCAAACAACCATGTCATGCTTTTCCAAGGGAAGAATGTTGCCAGAATTCAAGGTTCAGAAACTGCTATATCTATGGGATTGAAAATGTTGCAGTGACGCATTGATGGAAATAGCATAGCTCTTGCGTATCTTCTGGTAACAGGCCAACAGTAGTAAGTGCCCTGTTAATGTTTTTTATACAATTCTTGATAATGCTCTTCTTTAAGAAAATAAATTGAATGGCCAATTGTAATCTAAGTATCTGTAAGAGTTGAAAACTAGTTGGAAGTTAAACCACCCTTATGATATTTTCATACAGGGATCATTTTTAAGTAATCTAGTGAAGGGCACAACCTTAATTGAGTGTCATGTGATGTTGTTGTGGGTCAGATGTGATTAGCTGCTGTTATACTTGTGTTATTACCACACAGTGTTCTTGTTCACACTACCCATAGCAGAGTATAAGGATCTCATTTCTAGCGCCAAAGATATTGTTCAAATCCTAAATACTTTCAAGTTTCATCAACGAGGAGAGTGAGGAGGTGGGGGAGCGCGAGGAGAGCAGGGTGGGGTGGGGGAGGAGAGTCGGGGTGGGGGAGAGTGGGAGAGCGAGGAGAGTGGGAGAGCAGAGCAGGGCGGGGGGAGCGGGGCGGGGTAGCGGGGGAGAGAGGGGAAGGTGGGGGATGGGGAGGCAGAGGGGGGGCTGGGGTAGAGCGAGGAGAGGGGGGTAGAGCGAGGGGGGTAGAGCGAGGAGAGAGGGGTAGTGCAAGAAGAACGGGGGAGTGGGGGCAAACACATTTGATCAGGTAGATTGTAAGGAACATTCTTCCTCTATCCCTTTGCCTTGCCCCCTCCTTCCCCATCTTCAGGTCGGGTAGAGGGACGGCGGGAGTTCCAGAAGTTAGGAGTGCAGAGTCTGAAAGCTTGGCCACAGATGGTATCGAGGATAGAATGGGAGATGTGAG